TGATATTTTCGACTTCTAGTTAAAAAACTACAAGTCCAATTGCTTTGATATTACATATATAGGTACTACATGTGGACCTCTCTCAGATTTGTTCATTTCATGATGATATCTTTAATTTTCTAATTTCGGTGAATATTTTTGTCATTTTTGGTAAAAAATGATATTTTCGACTTCTCGTTAAAAACCACAAGTCCAATTGCTTTGATATTACATATATAGGTACTACATGTGGTCCACTCTCAAATTTTTTCATTTCATGATGATATCTTCAATTATCTAATTTTGGTGAATATTTTTGTCATTTTTGGTAAAAAGTGATATTTTCTTCTTGTTAAAAACCACAATCATTTATGGTGAAAAATGATATTTTTGAATTCTTGTTGAAAACAGCAAGTCCCATTGCTTTGATACTATACATATTGTTCATTTTCTAATATATCTTCTGTTCTTTAATTGAAATGTGCATTGCTAACAGCGGAGCTATCTCAGCCGAGATATTACTTTTTATGGTAATATAACCTGTATATTTAAAAATGAATATTATTTATTACTGCTGTATCCCCTGACTGATGTCTTGATGAAGTTTTGGGTTATTGCCTATTGGTGTCACATTGAAATATGATGGGCAAACATATAACAACCACTCTAGTGTGTATCCATCCTTAATTTTACTTCATTATTTAACGTATTATCTTGATTTTCAATGGGCAAGGTTGTAATAATTGTGCTGTGTAAATTTACTAGCATATTGCTTGAGCCTTGAGTTGATGAGGAGATAGATTACTTCCTCAACTGTTGGAAAAACTTGGCCTATTGTGGGCTTTGAACCTATGGCTACAACCACAGCTAGTATCGGTAGTGCCGCTAACTATTACCCACAATAGTGAGGTTTATAATAAAAAATGTGTACCGGGGTATGTAAACAAAGCGTACTATAACTTACTATTACGTACTATTTCATGGATAATATTTATTTGTTTCAGGTATTGCTTTGATCCTGGGAGGACAATTAGTCAGTGCTAGTCAGATGATTATTGAGGAAACATTTTTGAAACGCAGAGGATTTCATCCACTGCATGTATGTATGTGATGAACACATCAGGATTCAGTCAAAATTATATAGCTTTAAAGTCATACAAACATGACATACTTGCATGTAATTCATCAAAACACTGGATTTATCACCAAATTCATGTCTAATTGGATAAAATATTGATCTGTAGGGTATGTATACCATCAGGGTGGGCCTTGCCTATCAATATCACAAGGCTAAGGCCCCTCAGGTTAATTGTTAATATCTAAATTTATTGTTGAAGCATTCAGATTACCCGGTAAATTAAGGAAACACCAGTTTGTTTGAAGTTTCAACCATCATGTAGTGTATCAAATATCTTCGAACGGTTTATGAATAAAAATGCAGTTAAGACAATTGCCCTATCTTCATGAGGCAACAGCATGGCTGCAGTTTCCATCAAATACGTTTGCAAAGACTGTGATGCTGAAATGCAAGATTGTGACAATCACAACTTTGCTTGTGGAAGGAGCTGTGGTGATGTTACCTGTGGTGCTTGCAACTTTTGGTGCCAAGAGGATCTTGAGGAGCTCAAAGTGTTACCTACGGTACTCTCCAACTTTGTGAGCTGATCACAAAGCAGTATTACCTGAAGGACTCTACCACCAGGTTTTTACCTCACCTATGCTTGGAAAATTGTCAGATTCATCACTGAGTGTGGGAGTTGATCATAAGGCTAGACTTTCTGACACAAATTTTCAAAGATTTTGTCAATGGTGTAACTAGCGCCTTTCCAACCAGGTGCAACCAAGCCTTGACCTCGGACACATTAGCGATGTCATGGGAGAACTTGAATTTTATGCATCAAATTGGCCAAGCTGGATGTGTATCTTCCAAGGAAGTTACCACTAGTCCGACGGTACTGAAACTGCTGAGTAGCCATTTCCAGCAAATGCACATGTGTTCCAGTCGCACAAAGGCTTTTCACTCTCAGTTGCTGAAAGTAATTCAACCAATGTCACTGGGCAAAATACTGGAAGTGATTTCCCACCAAAATTCACCGTCAACTGTATCCCACTATTCTCTTTTTTTGCACAAAATCCTGAACAGAACACCCGGTACCATATTGAAAGAGTGCTCCAATTATCTAGGTCATTCATGTCTCTGTGTGAAAGGACTAGACTATCAATGCTATGTTGAAGTCTTTTTATAAGGAGACAGTTAGGATAGTGGTTTCTTGAATACCATCGCCATTTGTGCAACCTGCATTCTTTTAAAAAGTACCCTCAGTACCCTCCTTCATGATAACCACAGGAAGGCTAATACTTTGGCCTTCCTTGAGGGCGCCCACTAGATCCGGTTTTGGCTGCAGATTTTTGGCAATGCAAATTGGATTTTCACTATTTTTTATTTGAGTAATTACTTCTTCACTCAACTTGCAATTGTTCAAGTTTTATTTACCCTTTATACTGCTCTGTATGTTCTGTACCAACATGTTCTGCCCTTATAAAAGTTTGCATTCATTGATACCCCTTTCAGGTGTATATTCTGGTGGTTCAGCCCTCAGATGGCTGTACCATCAAGGCATCAGGAATTGTAATTCATCAGTGTGTCAATTTTTCAGGCAATACAAGTTGTCCACTTATGCATAGAAACTTTTTTTTCTTCATGACGCCAGTCATGCTTGAGAAAATTGGTTTGCTCTTATATATATCAGACATTGTCCAGTGTTTTGATAAATTACATTTATCTGAAACTAAAAGTATGTCAAGGTTATTTGACTTCAGTTTATAGAACTCTTAAATTAATTCTTATTCTTAATACTACACCCCAGACATGCTTACAACCCACTTCACCTCGACCCCAACCATATTCTACTTGAACTGGTAATAAATTTGGTACCAACTAGCCTGGAGGGCCTAGGCCTAGTGATATGAATAGGTATAACTGCGCCCTAATGGTCTATATACCCTGTATATATAGACATTGCCAAGCATTCCAGTGTTTTGATGAATTACTTTTATCCCAACACTGTATTTCTATAATACAAAAGTTGTTGGTTATGCTTGTTAATACTATGTAAATATTTTGTTGATTGAATCATATTTTTGACAATAGCATTATGTAATATGATATTATTGGTTTGAACATACAAATAAGTTAGCAAACTACATTAGTGACAGATGTATTTATAATAGTTTTCGTGTTGAAATAAACAAAGAACTTCCTTGCCATTCACAATATTGATTTGTAAGACTGGACTGTAATTGATAGCACTGGTAGTTCAAATAGGAACACTTTTTGGCTCCCTTATGCATTACACAAAGCGAGGCAAATGTCATATTAATATTTGTCTTTCTGGGTGGATGTGCATTTCGATTGGTCGAATCTTGTCCCACCAATATCTCATTTGCAGGGTTAATGATCAGGTTTTGGTACAAATTTGGTGCAATTAATTAGCCAATTCGCTTAATAATTAACTAAGTATATTTTATATCCTAACTGCAGTTTTTTTCAGATAATTTGAGATACAGTACATGCATATTGTTTGTGTGGTTGAATATCTTACACTATGTTGTAATTAATCTGCATATCTTAATTGATTAATTTGCCAACTAATTAACTGCTTTAACCTAAACTTTACATTTGCATTTACTGTTTGTTTGTGGAAATAATAATTAACTATTTTTAGCTTGTTTTATTTTGTATCCAAACAAAAATTTCGTCAAATGAATTAAATCAATAATAAAGCAACATAGCATGCTGAGACAGAAAAGGTTGTATGTTAAATATTTTCGGTAAACATCATTGAATATTCAATTCACTTCACAGTGGAGCAGGGTCTAGCATCTCTAGTCGTGTTTGTTACATGGTGGTGTAACTGACGTAGTATCTTTTTTCCAGGTTGTTGGTATGGAAGGAATTTTTGGAGTATTTTTCTTAAGTGCGGTAAGTTGTTTTTGTCAGAATTAATAAAAATTGAGTGATTTGTTAAGGCATATGTAAATGAAGGAGTATTTAGATTGACCTCTTTAATTTCAAAGTTTGGATCAAAATGGCTGACAGGTGGCCATTGAGTTGTGAAATCAAGCATTTCAATCATTGTGGCTGGGACCTTAGGTATTATGCATGGATGGATTCTGTTCAGATTTTGTACATACAATAATCTGATTACTGTTATTACTACTCAACAGTGCAAATTGTTTTTAAGCAGCATCCATAAACCTATTAGAGATATTTGTGCAAGTAATCAATCTGTAACAAGAGTTCTGATTGGTTGCAGATCATACTAGACCTAAATGCGATTTGCATAGGTCATGTAGTTCAAGGGATTTGCCTCTGTATAAGATTGATCACAGGGACGTTTTCAACTATTTAGTGTCCTCTAGTGGCCAAAGTATAGTGCATGTGACTGTGTGTACATGACCATTTTTGTTCTTACTTTTCAGATTATATTACCAATACTTTATTATATACCTGATAACTCTAAATACAGCAGTAAATATGAGGACAGTTTAGACGCATTACTTCAGATTAAAAACAGTACCAGTATACTTATATTCACATTACTGTATCTCTCGTCTATTGCGTTCTATAATTATTTTGGATTGGCAGTAACAAAGTCCCTCACAGGTGAGTTCACTTCTACATGTTGTGTTGGGTGATGTTCAAAGATACCATCAGTGCTTGGCTTCAATTGAAATCTCTACTTTGTATTTATTTTACTGGAAAGGTTTTACTAGTTTTGTTGAGCTAGTAAAATCATCAATTACTCTGAGAATGTGGGTGCTGTGTAGGTGTGGAGATGGAGATTATCTTTTATTTATTTATATGTCATGTTCATCATACTTTTATTATTATGAGTTCATACTATCAGAATAAATGGGGTCACTGGATGATTTCTAGAATTGTAAGAGTCCAAAATTATCATGGAAAATGGTCAAAAATGCTAATTTTACACTGGTTTCAAAGGTGTGATTATTTATACAAATTTTGCACAGTATTGTTGAATGAAAAAGTTGTATATTATTATTGGTATGAATCTTAATATTGTAAAAACATTTCAAAATATTGACATAAAATTTAGTGATTTTCCAGGGTGATACTAGTTTTCCATTTTATACAATGGGGGTTATCTCCCTTGATGCATTGCATATACCGGTATGTGTAGTAACATGCTCAGTAGTGAAAACAATTTGAATTTAGGTATATATATATATATATATATATATGTCATGTTTGCCACCAATAATTTTTGAATTTCAAAGCATGTACTGACAAAATGATCACCATTTGAAAATACAAAAGTTAAAATACACCAACATAAATAGTGTGTTATATTACAATAGCATTTTTCAATTTGTGAAAAACATTTGAAAGAATAATGATCTAGTGTACTGCTTTATATGGTATTACGTCGTTGAGATGGTCTTGTAATCATGTGAGCAATAGTGGCACATGGCACACAAGAGCAATGGAGGCACACATGTGAGCAGTGGTGGCACACATTTGAGCAGTGGTGGTACACATGTGAGCAGTGGTGGTACACATGTGAGCAATGGAGGCACACATGTGAGCAATGGAGGCGCACATGTGAGCAGTGGTGGCACACATGTGAGCAGTGGTGGTACACATGTGAGCAATGGAGGCACACATGTGAGCAGTGATGTCACACATGTGAGCAGTGGTGGTACACATGTGAGCACTGGTGGTACACATGTGAGCAGTGGTGGTACACATGTGAGCAGTGGTGGTACACATGTGAGCAGTGGTGGTACACATGTGAGCAGTGGTGGCACACAAGCTAATATTTTAAGTTAGAATATTACAATGTAATTTTAAAAATACTGTTAATCTGAAAGAACACAGCAACGTTCATGAAATGTTTTCCTCCTGAACATAAGCGGTTCTCAGCATGACTATATGCATGATGCTGGATATGCATGTACATGAATCTGAAACTTGTCTGATTGTAATGAAATGGATGTCTGCAGAAACACGGTTCATGCACAATTAATATGTCTTGTCTATAAAATTTTATTTCAACTACCCTGTGTTCAACACAATATTCTACTGCCCTCAGCTCTAATATTTAGTTTGCCATAGCAACATCACTCATTGTTTTCATGTGAAAAATAATCTGATTATTAATGAATTCATGCATGTGTTTGTTTTGTCCAATCAGCTGTACATCGAACTCTTATAGATGCCTGTCGTACTATTGTAGTATGGGTGGTGTCCTTATTTATTTACTATGCTTTTGGTCAAGAATTTGGTGAAGGATTTGACACAACATGGGGAATATTACAAAGTAAGTGGAGTTAATTTTAGAAAATAAAATTTGACGAATTTAAGTTTTACATTCTACTGAAGCATGCCAGTCTGTTTGATTGTACCAATTAGAAAATTAAATACTGATATAATTAAAACTTTGTCATGTGATTTGGGCGTTGCTAGTCAGTTTAGTTAACACTTGTGCCATTAATTTAGCTGTGTAGCTGTACCTGTATTCACCAGTTTCATCAAACATTTAGTGACAAAGTTTCTTGCCTGTTTACATTGGTCAAGTTCAAAATGGCTGGTACTCCTGTTTTGATGGGGGAAAATGGTTTGGTACCCACGTTGATGTTCAGACTATCAATAATATCTGTGTAATGATGACCTTAATTTTCTCTGTCATTCCTGTGTTTCTCCCATTGGTAAATTTGAAAGTGTTAATTGGGATTCTGACACGTGAAAGCTGGATGATAATCATCACGGCAGAGCTTACCTGCTGTTGTGCTCATGTTGCTAGGTGTTTAAAAGGACAGCCATTAACTGTTTTATCACCATCAAAGGACATTAGTTATCACTGATTATGATTATTAGTAGGCGTCACTGCCAACTTCGTTGCAAGTGGTTGAATGAAAGAAAACTCCTGGGGATATCACACCAGTTGTTTCTCCAGTCCTGTTCAAATGGAAATGCCTGCCTACAGGCCTGTTTTATCAGCCAATGACCACACTTCAGTAACCAATGAAGGTGGTCAGCATGATGACATTGGTAGGCTCTCTGGTTCCTTGGACCACATTGCTTACCAGAGCAGTACAGTTCACGCAGAAACTTCAAGAAAGCCCTTTACATAAACCTCCCAGTCCACCTGCCAGTCGGGTGCAGGGAGACTCTAGTTTGGTGGACCATCCCCAGTCACCTGGTCATCAGAATACCCTTCATATAACCCATACCAACAGTGTTCATTTGACAGATACCTTGGGGAGGGGCACACATAATGGATCTTCAGAACAAGTTAGCCAAACACATCAACTTGAAGGCTGCCCTCTGGAACTTTCTGCCCACATTGGAGGCAGACGGGTATTAGTGATTACTCTGGTCCAGTCCCTCTGAGATAGCGCCATCCGATGACACTAAAGCCATGGACAGTACTACCTTTCACATCCCTCTATGCCTCAGCTGCTAACTTTCTTTACCATGTGTCAAATATGGATAAGAAGGCTTGATCCACGGCGTGTCTGCAACCAGCACTATGTTGTTTATCAGTTTGGGTAGGAGCATCACAGAGGAAGACACCATTACACTGGGGCTATCTCACATGTGCGCTGTGATACCACCAAGGTTGGCTACACCATGTTGTTCCTTGTCATTAGTGTTGGATACTTCAGCAAGTGCCCTACATGCTGCATAACTTGCCGATGGGTCACAGAAGATAGTATTTCTGCGCGCCTTGTTTTCATGCTATCCTTCGCTGATAATTTAGTGGACTTTCTGGCTGACTTGTACACCTTATGGCATCTGCCTCACCTAATTTAATTTCATGGTTGAATGTGGCTTCCGGTGAACCAAGTAATGTGCACTCTCTGACATTGCCACAAGTGAACACTGGCGTTTAGGTACTCAGATTCAATGTTCACTTGCCATGCAGAGAGAGGATACAGCAGTTGCCAGCGAGTTGTACCGCATATTCCGGATGAGTTCTGGAGACGATCAGCTTTGCATACACAAATGCAGATGCTCCACAAAATGTGGTTTGAAAGCTCTAACTTACATTTTGCGATGGTGCACATTAAACCATACTGGAAGTCACTTACCACATTCATTTCTCATTAACTCCGAGAACTCTCTCCTGAAAGTTCTGATTATCACAGATTAGGTCGAATCGTTGTGGGTCAGATGGTGACACAGTAACTACTGGACATTCTGTTGTCTAGTTGGACTGAGGTATTTACCAGGACACTTACAGGTAGCATACCTTTACCCTGGGGCCCTCAGCTTAGCTAGGTTGGATTTTCTGTATTGAAAATGTTAGAGGTCTATTGACTTCTTCCATTTGCAATGAGGCATTGTCTTTCAAGCTATGCCTATTCACTTTGAGATCACTCAGGGTGTACCGGTAGGCATTTCTGTAGAAAGACATATCCTATGCTTACTAGCTTTGTACACTTTCATGATTGTGTATTAAATGTTTGCATTGAATTCACACTGTTTCTTAATTGGGACTGGGCTTGGGACGACTGCAGTGCCTGTGGCTTCTGTTCTTAGATTCGGATTCAAACCCACTTATGACAAATACAAAATGTATCTAACAAATAGTGGTAGTGATTGTTTGTTTGCCACTCCAATTACTTATACTACTTACCCGCCTCGCTCCTCAGGCACTGGTGCATCACCCTTGGGTAGCTGCTGTGCTCTAGCACAAAACAGTGAAGTGAAACTGAAAATTCTACAGGTATTACCAATAATTCCTGGAGGTGCAGTGCACCTGCTGGGTGATACAATTATTTGTAATTCCTGGGGTCAACTGGGAGTAGTATGACCCACTTTATCTAACTTAGACAAATATCTAACTTGAACAAATAGTGGAAGAAATTGGAGTGACTAATAAACAAGTGGGCTAGCTGGAGCAACCCTTCGATTTCAATTTATTGTATAATGACAACATCATTGCAACCACTCATGTCTGTGAAACTGTGTTTTAAATAGTTTATGTTTGGTTCTATGTGTATATGATTAGTTTTACACTACTTGGACAGTTTTTAACTCAACCAAACTACTGGTGTTACGGAATAGTTTGCTGATGAAAGTAGGAGTTGACTATATTTCTATTTTCATCCTCAGTTGATGGCTTCATGTTTCTTGTGATCGGTACAGCTCTTTATAATGAACTATTTGACCTGGAATGGGTGCCTTGCTGTAAAAAGCCGTTGGAAGATGTGCCAGTACAGTCGCAGAGTGAAAGGAGAAGGCATGATGATGGTGATGCCAATAGTGATGAGGATGCGCAAGATTCTGATGGGTTGCTAAGAAATAAAGGAAATGTGATTACATGAAAGTAATCTGTTAAAAAATTAGAATACATTAAAGAAAGGGTTGAATTTTAAGTAGTATTTACACACCCACCATCCTATTTAGCTGACTTTGAATTTATTTTTTATTTATAAATGTGAAAGTAACAAAGCAATACAAACACGTACTTGTATGTTAATTCCTAGTCTAAGAACAATAGGTTCTTTTATTCTTTATTTTAAACAGCACCATCGATAATTATGTATTTGTGTAACATTGTAACATATGAAGACACTTCATGTGTACCATTCTTATGTCACTACATAATGAAGGTCTACTTTCTCTAAACCGCATTGATTTCCTGAGAGACAAATGTCGTAACAATGTCTCTAAATGTTTTAAAGTCACAGGGACTTTCATGAAATTGAGGTATGTAAAATTTACAGCGAGTATTTTGCAATAAATGTGAAGCTCAACCATTATCATTTTGATTAATCACAGGTGGTAAACAAGAAAACAAATAAGTAATAATGCAAAAATCATGGATCAAACACATAACATTTACAACCAGCATGTTTAAACAAATGCCAAGTTCAACAAATTTCAATCAATGAATTTCAACTATTAACTGGTAGTCGGTATTTAGTGCATGGCTGCAAGGAATTAGCTAGTATCTACAAGGAATTAGCTAGTATCTACAAGGAATTAGCTAGTATCTGCAAGGAATTAGCTAGTATCTACAAGGAATTAGCTAGTATCTGCAAGGAATTAGCTAGTATCTACAAGGAATTAGCTAGTATCTGCAAGGAATTAGCTAGTATCTACAAGGAATTAGCTAGTATCTGCAAGGAATTAGCTAGTATCTACAAGGAATTAGCTAGTATCTGCAAGGAATTAGCTAGTATCTGCAAGGAATTAGCTAGTATCTACAAGGAATTAGCTAGTATCTGCAAGGAATTAGCTAGTATCTGCAAGGAATTAGCTAGTATCTACAAGGAATTAGCTAGTATCTACAAGGAATTAGCTAGTATCTACAAGGATCGAACAATTGCTAATAGTATATATTCAAGCGTTGCTGCTGAACAATCAACAGCATAATATTTTAACACATTTTTGTCATTTGTTTAAGTAAACAACCACATATCTTGTGCTTCAAATAAAACTGTAAATGTAAATCTTGCGGCACATCGAGCCTGTGAATCAAACATTAGCTAACACTTGCCTCTGCTGAAACCTTGTACTTTCTAACCAAATTTTTGTGTAAGATTATTTTTGTTACATTGCACGAGAAAATTTAAATGCTTGTTTTAGTTGACCAGCATTTTCATTGCAAAATTGTTAGTTCTGTGCTGCCTTGAGTGCACAATCATAATTTCTTTGTTAATATCAATAATTTTCCGTGTTCCTGTACTCCTTGCTCATGTTCTTTGCAAACTCTAAAGTCTATTGTACTTCAGAGCAAGCCTTTGTCTAGGACTGTACATTTCTGCACTCATCTTTAATTTAAGGTCACACTATGCCATATTGTGTCCCATGAAAACATAAATCAAAAATCACAATACTGAAATTTGTCACTGTATGTTACATCAATAATTAAAAAAAAATCAGTAGTCTAATAAGTAGTATCATTTCAATTATTTCATTTCATATTTATTTACTGTTGAACCTTTCTCTAGCAAGCATTTTGACTGCCATATAATATGGAAAAAAAAATGTTATTCTCTCTATAGTCTTGCCACAATGAATGTGATTCTTTGTTGATTGCATCATGTGCTGCTTTGCATACATTCAACTATAATAAACACAAACATATTTTCACAGAATTTATGGCATATAATATTGATAAACATTGTTATTGACACTACATGTACATATTTTTAGAAGTGGTAGTTATTTTTAAGTGATTGCTTGTCATATATAAATACTGTGTTCACTGAAGTACTAGAATATTCTGGTTTGTAACAAGTTAATTTCAAAACAAGACCTGTGTTGTCTTTGAATGTAAATAGTTTGCTGAATGGATTGCCGTTATGTTACATTATAGAACCAGTCTGGTGTTAACAATACAAACTTGAACTGTCTTGCTTTGACAAATCTATACCAATCATGCAAACAGGGCTATTGCAATGTCTTGATTGGAAAGAAATAGTGCTGTTTAAGATTACATAGATATTGCTATGTGCACTGTAACAAAACATCTGTTAAGATGTATTGCTACCTATCCCCTGAAAAATAATCAGACAGATTTTGATATTTACCATACTTATATTTACGTTCGTTTCCAATCAAAATTAATTCCAGTAACTTCCAACATCACAAGTTTGAAATCATCAACAAAATATGACTTCTGCGATTAAAATGTGAATGAATAAAATTATATGTAATCGTATAATTACATTACAGTCATGTAAGCTAATGTGCAGACTCTATAAATCAGCGCTGAGCACTTGTACCTTTCTCAGAATTAAAGAATATCCAATCAATTGGCAAATAAAACATAATGTATCTTTGATTTTAGCGTACAGATGTCATTCTTGAAGTAAGTAAATGGTAAATTTTCAAATAACCTTAATAATAAACCTAGTTTAGAGAGTAATTTATGAATTAGCCACAGGTATTCAGTACCACTCAACGAAATGGCAGCATTTGTGTTTATCCATCTTATTTGTAGTGTCTATATAGTCGTATGTGTTTTTGATACAAATCAGGATATGAATAAACAATATAAAATTTAATGAAAAAAATGTGCATTCACTTTTGTACATGGAAACAAATACAGCCCTCCTGAACTTTGTATGATAATGCATAATCCTTGGAAATTTTAAGATCTATGGACTGATATAAAAAAAAAAAAAACAGTAATGACAAGAAACTGAACACAAATAGGCTTGCTTTATTTTTGAAACAAATATAGCCTGCTGATTTAAAATATAACATAACATGACATAATCGTCATTGAATATTAGAAAAAAAATGAATCTTGCCATTGTGAATGAGAATTCGAAACAAATGCATAATTACCCCCCTCCCCGGTATGCATATATATATGCATTTGACATGCACCAAGGTCTCATTATGTTCTATGTATTCCTAAGTTTTAAGAAATTCATTCATACATAATTCAGAATAACAAAAAATGATTATTTGGATAAATTTTTAGCACAAAAATGGCAGCATATCAAACGAATGTGCATATGTATCCCAAGACGCATGATATATAAAAAGTTAGAATGTGATCAGGTGGGGGGATGCATTGACACAGTACAATTTAATTCACAAGTTCATAGTGACTGCCTAGGTATTTTTACCAATTTCGTCACCTGTCACGAAATAGTCGTGTTCATAATTTAATTCAAAGTTTGAATTCAGAAAACCAAGGAGTGAACAAATGTAGCTGGGTTAAACCACCAAACTATGTTTATAGTGGCATTTTAAATATTCATGCCAACTTTGACCTATGACCTGGTGTAATGTGAAACACGTGCAGGGCTTCGAAAAAAATACATTATTATGACAAAGTAATAAATATATCATGTTCAAATATTGCAGTATTGAACAAATAACTTTTATCCAACTGTACAGCTGAACATTGTTCACAATACATTAACAATAAATATTTTATATTTCTGATCATGGGAGGTGGTTGCAAGATTTGTTGAAATAAAAAATTGCATGCAACATTCTAAATGTATGGATAAGACACCACGATAAAAAAAATTGCACTGGTCACATTCTTCCACCCCACCCCCCATGATTTCCAATGGTTGACCCCTTAACTGACCTTATTCATTTGAAATCCTATAGGATACGAGGTATAGAAAGGTTCACTGGTATAATTTGCTTTGACAGAAAGCTCTCATGAATGGGAATAATAGGTATAACCTATGGGCTAGTAATGTGAAAACACTGCAAGCTTTATACACATTGTACATGTGAAATACTGCCTTAGGATTGAATTGATGCATAATTGGGCACTCTACATAGAGCCTTACTTGGCACATACAGCAATCAATTGTCCCTCTCATACATTTAATGGAGAACCTACCTACCTACCTACCTTCTACTGTGTGTGGTCTCATTTGATTTTTTTTTTTAAATTTCTTTTTAAACTGGTTAGCTGGTTCAAGTATGAGGCCTGATAAAATAAACAATGTTTTGTCATCATATTGACAATTGTCATATTTTCTACTAGGCTTTTAGAATTATTTGATATTATACCTCCTGTGCACATGGATCGATCAATACAATCCAGTGACCTTGATTTTGTTTTTGTGCATACCAATGTTCAATTTATGTTACATAGCCAATAGCCATGATAGTCAGACATCAAATAGACAGCATAGTTGGCTCATACATGTGATGGTTCAGTCATCAAAGACAACATACTGTAAAACATGTCTTTTTCACGAGCATGTTTTTTTCGCGAATTTAGTGAGAACTGATTCGCTAATTCAAGATGTCGCTAATGACTTTATTATAAATTCAAAATGGCCGCCAAACAAAGAAATTATCAATGTCGAAAGAGATTCGCTAAATCAACATTTCATTATTATGTCATTTTACCTCAATTCGCTAAAATTGCATGTCACTTTTTCAACACGTTTTACAGTAGTTGGCTCATACATGTGATGGTTCAGTCATCAGAGACAGCATAGTTGACTTACACATGTGATGGTCAGTCATCAAAGACAACATAGTTGGCTTACTATGTGATGGTCAGTTATCAAATAGACAACATAGTTGGCTCATACATGTGATGGTCAGTCATCAAAGACAACATAGTTGTCCTACAATGTGATGGTCACTCGTCAAATAGACAACATAGTTGGCTTACACATGTAATGGTCAGTCAACAACTAGACAGTATAGTTGGCTTACTATGTGATGGTTCAGTTATCAAATAGACAACATAGTTGGCTTACTATGTGATGGTTCAGTCATCAACTAGACAACATAGTTGGCTTACTATGTGATGGTTCAGTCATCAACTAGACAACATAGTTGGCTTACTATGTGATGGTCAGTCATCAAATAGACAATGTAGTTGGCTCATACATGTGATGGTCAGTTATCAAATAGACAACATAGTTGGCTTACTATGTGATGGTTCAGTTATCAAATAGACAACATAGTTGGCTTACTATGTGATGGTTCAGTCATCAACTAGACAACATAGTTGGCTTACTATGTGATGGTTCAGTTATCAAATAGACAACATAGTTGGCTTACTATGTGATGGTTCAGTTATCAAATAGACAACATAGTTGGCTTACTATGTGATGGTTCAGTCATCAACTAGACAACATAGTTGGCTTACTATGTGATGGTTCAGTTATCAAATAGACAACATAGTTGGCTTACTATGTGATGGTTCAGTCATCAAATAGACAACATAGTTGGCTTACTATGTGATGGTTCAGTCACCAAATAGACAACATAGTTGGCTTACTATGTGATGGTCAGTCATCAAATAGACAACATAGTTGGCTTACTATGTGATGGTCAGACATCAAATAGACAGCATAGTTGGCTC